CATGGTGCTGTACACGACCGGCCGCGACGGCAGGGCCAACGGCATCGCCGGGCTGCGCTACCTCGGCGCCAACAACGGCTTCCAGCTCGACCCGTGCGTGGCCGCCGCAGACGCCCCGCGCGGCATCACCGACCTGCTCGTCGTCGCGGCCCTGCAGCTGCTCCGCAGCAGCGGCGTCGCGTACCTGAGCCTCGGGTTCGAGCCGTACGCAGAGCTCAAGGACGTCACGGGCCGCGGCGGGCTGCTGGCGCGGCTGACGAGGCATGGCTACCGCCGCGTCATGGGCTCCCTCAAGGCCGCGGGCAAGCAGACGCACAACGACAAGCTGCGGCCGGACGAGGAGCTCGAGTCGGCGCTCTACATCATCCTGCCCCGCGGGCTGCTGCATGTGCGAGAAGTCAGCGCCCTGATCAAGGCGGCTAATATCGATGTCACGAGTATATTTTCGCGGAAGGCGGTATAGTGCCAGGCACCAGCTTCGGCGTCTGGGCTGGTGAAACAAGGCGCGTTTGTATTATTTGCCCGAGTTCCAGGGGGTCAAGCAAAATATCTTTCTCCATGTACAAAAACCCGACATTCGCTCTATAACTCCTCATGATCATGGTGGCTCAAGTTGTCTTTCTAATCTAGTCGCCAAATCATTCTTGTATGTTTCGTGTATGCGTTTCATCGTCTGCTTTTTGTGAATTTTGCCGGCGTCCACGGGAATGCGGTGCTCTTGAGTTCGATACGCTGGAAAAGTCAGACCACGTTTAGACTTTGCCTAGCAGAGGAATGCTCATTCGGAAACGCATGAAACCGACCGGTACGGCCGCTGCCAACGCCATGGACCCGGCGTAGAACATGGGCGGCCGATATGTGTAAGCCGCCGTCCTGGCCACCATAGGCATCCAAAATGTAGCCGGCAATTGGGGCACCCTACATGCACGAGAATCAGACGAAATCGTTCGTCTCCACGGAAATTACGCGCTACCTCCGGCCCAACCGGTGACAATCATGCCCAGCGCGACAGCGACGCGCGCAGACCCAAAAACGTTGCCCACGACCGGCCGTGACTTCTAGGGGGGGAATATTTTGCTCATTGCATGATTGAAAGTCTCCAATATTTCGGCCGGCACTCGGAGTAGCGAGCCCCAGAAAATTTGAATTTTTTACATGTTAAGCCGCATCTCTATCGGGCTCGTTAGCTGGCGGCAAGCGTTCCGGCCACGGTTTCGGCCTCGATACATCCACTTCTTACGCCAAAATGCGGTGTCGTAGCGCGAGGCCGGGTTAATATACTGGGGAGGGAGGAACCATTGTCTGGGGAAGAATCGGAATTTTGCTTAGAGGAGAAATCGGTATCTGATCAAGACTAGAAGGGTATGTGCTTGTTGGCTTGTGCAGTTGTTCGTGTAAGTCAAGCTGGGAGCGACCAATGGAACTCGTCGCGCATTCGGCACACAGGCAGACTATACCTGTGAAACAGGTGCCAGCGAATAGTCAAGTTATCTAATTAATGAATAGACTACGTTCATTTTCTCCTTTATAAGTAGCTTTGTCGAGATCTTCACGGCAAAAGGACGTCTGATTCAGAGAAGAGTCACGTGACCCAACCCGTTTGGCGACTTTTTCTCCCACACAACCACTCACAAACCAACAACCACAGGACCTCTACACTCACACGCGGCACCAACTTCCCATGGAACCGTTCGACACGGAGCCCGCCGGCCTGCTCATCCACAAGGACTTCATCTCCCCCGCGCAAGAAGCCGCGCTCATCCAACTTTTCCAGACGGAGCTCACATGGCCGGAGCGCAAGGGCCGGCGCTCGCTGCACTACGGCTACACCTTTAGCTACCGGACCTTTGCGGTGGACCTGGACGTGCCGTACGCGCCGTTTCCGGGGTGGCTGACGGCGCTGCTGCCGTCAGACGAGGCGGGCGGCCCGCGGCGGCCGCCGGACCAGGTGTGCGTGCAGCACTACCCGCCGGGCACGGGCATCCCGCCGCACGCGGACACGCACGGGGCGTTTGACGACCGGCTGTACGCGCTGTCGCTGGGGGCGCCGGTGGTGATGCAGTTTGGGCGGGCGGGTGGGCGCCGGGTGGACGTGGACGTGGCGCCGCGCAGCATGATGCTGATGCGCGGCGACGCGCGGCTGCACTGGACGCACGGCATCCGCGCGCGCAAGACGGACACGCTGGGCGAGGTGCGCCGGCCGAGGGGCGACCGCTGGAGCATCACGTACCGCTGGCTGCGCGCGGGCGGCGAGTGCGAGTGCGGCGACGAGGCGCTCTGCGATACCGCGCAGCGCAGGGCCGGCGTGGAGCGCGCGTACCGCTGGAAGGAGCAGCTGCAGGCCGGCGGCGCGGCGGCGCCCAAAGAGGAGCCGTGAACAACACCCTGGATGCAGACGTGAGCGAGCTGGGGGCTCGTATCGTCGCATGTCCCATATAAGTGAGCGAGATGGGAGCAACACTCTGTGGCGGCCAGATGCAACGCGGGATATCGCTCTGCCGTGGGATAGTCCCGGCTATATTCGTTTACGTGTAGCCATTACGCTCAAGTAGCACGGGGACAGCGAGGCGCAGACTTGCTGTTCAGCCGACGAGAGATCGCCGACGGCTAGGACGTCGATCACGGACGGGTTTTTAGGGCTGCCCCTGTTGTCGGAGAAGGAAGAAAGGGTAATAGCCGGAGTTGCATGCGCCTCTGGGAGATATTTACCAGCATATATTACGGAGTACATACTGCACAGCTGCAGCCACATGCTTTTTGCGCGGCGACGATCCCGAGGAACCTGGCGACCAGGGGGGCCTGTCAAGGCTGTGATGTTGGTGCAAGGAACGAACAGCTGGACAAGGCACAACCAATTGAGACACAACCGTCAGTCTTGGCGTCTCTGCATAGCCCTGTCTGCCCATCTCCGCTCTTTCAGACGCAGATTAAGTAATTAGCGACGACATGTCAATGCGCAGAGACAGTTGCGATGTTGTGTCAGGGGTGGTACCGCTGCCACCGCCCAAAATCGCGATGATGACAAGGACACGGACGTGAAGACACCAGAAAAAAAAGAAAGGAAGTAAGAAAGACGGAATTTCAACCGCAACTTTTTTGTCACGTTCAAATTTCCGAGCATATGTCGCCGTTGAGCCATGGCACCAACAGCGAGAGCCGTCGTTGGAGGGGAGGGTAATAAGGCACTGCAACGCTGTGGGACCGAGGCTGCACAGGCACGAGTTTGCTGTAGATGGCCACCCCCGGCAGTTGTATTTTGTTGCGGCGCAGTTTGCGACCGAGACAATATGCGGAAAAAAATGGCCGTGAAGAGATAGTTTTTGAGAGAAAATGAACTCTATTCCTGGTACAGGTAGCTCCGTCGTGAACTTGTCTCCGTTCTTGTTTAGCCCACTGTCTCGGGGTTTGCAGGAGCGAGAGTCATTTTGCCCCATTGACTCATGGAAACAAGAAGCGACAGTCAAAGAGTTTTGTCATGCCTCTTGCTTGCATATGCAGAGGACACACGGGGATCTTTAGTAGGAGTTTTTTTCTCGTTTGGTATATACACTTTGATATTTGCTCGTGCGCGCCAAGCCACGACCCGTTGCCGAGGGGGCAGGTGTCAAAAACTATCGGCCGAGGAGTTGGGGGGGGGGATAAGGGATTTGCCCGCGCTTCCCTCCCATTCCCGCACGCCCTCTAAAATCAAGTCGCATTCCTCACTAATAAGAACTAGTCGTCTGACGCAAAAAACAAAACGTCTTTTCATCCCATTGAGTTAACCGGTAGGCAACTAACTACCGTTGCTGTCATGAGCGCGCCGTAAAAAAACGTCCGTGCTAGCCCGCTCCCCACGAAAGCGGGGAAACAGCAAAAAAACGCCAAACCCCAACCCTGGAAAGCTTACAACATACGAAAAAAGCCAACGTTGGCCAATATGGAGAGGTGAAATTTCCATCCCAACAACCCCTGATCCTAGTCGGGGAAATAAAAGGCGCACGGGGAAGGGGAAGGGGAAAGGGCAAGAAAAGAAGCTTTGGTGTTTGACGATGACTAGGAACAGCAAGCGACGAGGGTTGTGGACGGGTTGGTCGGCAAGGAAAGCTTCATGGGGGGGTTGTTTCGTTTCTACACGTGCCTTTTTTTCTTTTTTTGGCATTCCTCTCAACAGAATACGAATCACGTTGTACTCGTGTGGTGGACAGACAGCTTCTTGAACCCCCCCTCCTCCCCCCCAAAAAGGCGCGCCATGACATATGACAGATAATCTCAACCCTCGGCGGAGACGCCGGCGTTTTCTGCAAGCCCTCAAATGTGGGGGAATTGCGTCTCTTGTCATGAGAGTCAAGAGAACCCGAACCAGTGTGTGTGGCGCTCTTTTGGTCCGGCCAATAGGCAGCCTCGTCATTATTCAACTTGTCCGCTTGTGTATATCTCGACGTTTGCGGGGGTGGAGCAGGACCTGGCAGTTTCCGTTCGGCCTCCCCTTGTCCGCCTTTCCCCCTCTCCAAGGTGGTGTAGTATGTACAGTATACCCGGCCGCGGTCGTGGTTCCTTTTTTGCCCCCAATCCTGCGACATTGATTCAGTCAAAAAAAACATGTGGAGCGGGCAGTAGCTGAACTGGGGGCTTGGGGAGGCTGGAGGGGACGAGGTCCGAGAGAGTTGGATCAAGAGGCGTCCAGTACTGGGTACATTAAAAAGAAAGTCTGTGCCACCATACACCGAAATATACTTTTTTGGCCCAATTTCGTTTTTTCCCTTTTTTTTGGCGTCTTATTCCCCAAATGCCACCGACTTGCTCACTTTCTCTACCTGTCATCTCAACTTCTCTCTCCCACGTCCATCATACCCATCGAGAAACCCGACCCCGAGATCTGATTGCGGCGGTAATGGTATAGCAGGTTGCACGACCGCCGGGCTGCTCCCCCCCCTTCTTCGTGTAACCACACCATAACCATGAAGACCTCCCCGGGGCTGTCCCTGGCCGCCCTCGCCGGGATATGCCTCGCAGGCGTCTGCCAAGGGCAGCAGGGCACGCCATCATCGCCCGGCGCCCGCGCCCTCCTCCCACCACCACCACCACCACACAGCAACGCCGCCGAGGCGCTGATACAACCGCGCTCTTTATCGACCGTTCTGCAACAAGTGCCATCCTGCGCAGTAAGTCAAATAAACAGGCCAAAACGGACACAAGGGTCGTGCTGGGGGAAGGGGGGGCTAACCGGGTGGACGCAGAGGCCATGTGTTGAAAACGCCACGGCCGCAACGCGCGACAGCTGCGCCGACGGCACCTGTCTCTGCGCCGACAGCAGCACGGAAAGCACCCTGAGCGCATGCGTCGCCGCGGCGTGCACGCTCGCCGAGGGCATCGCGACCAAGAACTACACCCAGGCGGCGTGCGACGTGCCGCGGCGCGACCGGGCGACGCCCTTTGACGTGGCGTCGATTACGCTCTGCGCCGTGACGGGCGTCATGGTGCTCGCGCGGCTGCTCTTCAAGGGCTGCTACAGCTACGCGCGGCGGCTCGGGCTCGACGACTGGTTCATCATCGCGTCCGTCGCCGTGGGGCTGCCGTGCACCATCATCAACACCGTCGGGCTGACGCGGCACGGGCTCGGCAAGGACGTGTGGACGCTGCCGCCGGCCACCATGGAGACGTTTGGCCGCTACTTTTACGCGCAGCAGATCCTGTACCTCTTCCTCGTCACCAGCATCAAGATGAGCCTGCTCTTCTTCTACCTGTCCATCTTTCCCGGCCGCGGCGTCCGCGCCGTGCTGTGGCTCACCATGGCCGTCACCGCCGTCTTTGGCCTCACCTTTATGCTGCTCTCCGTCTTCCAGTGCACGCCCGTCCGCTTCTACTGGCTGCGCTACGTGCAGCCCCTCGACGGCCACTGCACCCGCATCAACCTGCTCGGCTGGATCCATGGCGGCGTCAGCGTCGCTATTGACGTCTGGATGATTGGCATCCCGCTCTTCCAGATCCGCAAGCTCGAGCTGCACTGGAAGAAAAAGGTCGGCGCCGCCATCATGTTTCTGACAGGCACCTTGTACGTATTTTCTTCTCTCTCTCTCTCTCTCTCTCTCTCTCTCTCATTGCTACATTCGCTGGTGACTAACACACCAAAACACAGAGTCACCATCGTTTCGGCCCTGCGGCTGCGCTCCCTTATATACTTTGCCAACTCCATCAACCCCACGTGGGACGAGGTGCCCGTCGCGCTGTGGGCGACGATTGAAATCAACGTAGGCTTAATGTGCGCCTGCCTGCCCACGCTGCGCCTCATCCTCGTGCGCATGTGGCCCCGCGTCTTTGGCAGCACAATCAACTCCCTCTCCCAGAGATCTGCCGTCTCGCACAGGACCAGCACAAGCGCCTATGCGCGCAAGGTCAAGGTCCGACCCCCCAGTGTCGACACTGATACGGCACCCATAAGTCCTCGCTTAGTAGAGACTAACACGGCATTCGAACTGGATGCTAAATACCCAACCTGGGAGGACCGCGAGCAGCCCGGCCATCTGGAGGATAGTGACAATCCCGAACATGACTCGACCGCCTCATTCGAAAATGAGTGTCATGCTAAATAGCGCCAGAAAATAAATCCCGTAAATAAAATATACTAATAATAAATACATACATACAATGAATAACGTTCAATGGTATATGTGCGCAAGTGTGCGCCGCGTATTCTATGGACCCCACGACAAAATCAACCCAAATCGCCGCCCAGAAAATCCAAAAAAGAGAGATGAACCCAGACCTGCCCTGACAAAGTAAATAATTAAGTGAGTGAGATTTGTAACCGACATTCCGAGCCTTGCTACAATGTTAGTATTTGGCCATCCATGCGTCAATCACCGCCTCGCGCTCTTCCACCGTGGCCTCGCGGAAATCCTGGAGCGACTTGCGGAGTCTGATGAGCAGGATTTCCGCCTTGAGTTTGGTGAGGTGGCGCTTGGAAAGCTCCCTCTCGAAGCCCTTGAGAGTGTAGCCGGGAAGACCAAAGACGGCGGCGCCCAGGCCACAGAAGAAGCCCTTGCCGCCGCGCCAAATGCCCTTGCCGAGACCCTTGGCACCCTCGTCTCTGGTGCCCTTGTACGGCAGGACGATGATGCCGGAAAAGGCGTCCCAGAAACCGAGAACGAATTCTTTGCCGGCAACCTTGACACCGCTGCCGAAACCCTTGACCTCGTCCCTGCGGCGCACCTCGATGCCGGCATAGCCGTACGAGGGGAAGTTGTGGAAGCCGTTGGCCGTGTTCCAGAAAAAGGCAACGGGTGCTTTGAGGCCTGCCTTGGTAAGCTCGACACCGAACCTGCTCGTCTTACGAGCAAGGTACCACGTGCGGCCGTGTCGACCTTTCTCATGCCCCTCCCACTCCGCCTTGCAGTTGTCGTGGAAGGTTGGTGTGCGTTCAATTCGAGGCTGGGGAGTCCACACGGTGCGAAGGGACTTTGTTGCCATTTTCTTGGCAGAAATTTCCATCTGCGACGGGGTTATGATATGGGCCGCACCATTTGCCGGGGGTTTGTCCTCGGGAACAGCTCCTTTCCGTTCGAATGAAGACTCGCTTGCAGTTTCTTTTTTGGCGCTTGCTTTGCTAGGCCGGTATTTCCATGCTTTGGAATAGTCAGAAGAGGCAATGGCGACCGCTGTGACGAAGCCTGTGGCCGAAGCAACCATGCCTACCAAGGGATGCTCGGCACCCTCGTCAACATACCAACTCTTGTGGTGGATCAGCTTCGCTTGATCAGGCGTCATGATGCCCTTGTCAGCTAGACAGGCTGCCGCAAATCCGCTCAAGCGTGCGCCTGTCTTTTTGTGCAGCCAGATAGCTAGCCGACCCGGACACAAGTCGCACTGCAGCTTATCCTCGCTGGCAAGACGCTCGAGAAAGTCAGTCACGGTATCTTCTGCTCCATTCTCCGCGGCAATGGTCTTGGCCATCTCTTGAGCACCTTTTTGTACATCATCTGTTAGGGCTGTGGTAATGCTCTTCGCAAGGCTGTCAACTGTCATCTCGGTGAAGGGGACCGGCTCTGGACCTGCTCCAGCACGAGCTACCATCCGGCCCCAGAAAGCCTGATCTCCAAAGAAAGGGACGACGACGGTCGGCCTGCCGGCAGCAATACCGGCAGCAGTGGTTCCGGCACCGCCGTGATGTACGACAGCAGAGACGTGTTGGAAGAGCCAGTCATGAGGACAGTTGCCGATTAGGTAGATGTTGTCGGGAACGTCGTCGCCACCGACCTTGCTCCAGCCCTTGGAGATGATGGCCCGTACGCCAGCCTTCTTGACCGCGGCAAATAGTAGTTTACTGAGCTCAGCAGGGTTTTTAACGACAATGGAACCAAAGCCAATATAGATTGGTGCCGGTCCAGCAGCCAGGAAGGCAGTCAAGTCGTCGGGGGGCGTGTATGAGCTAGCAAGGGGCAGAAAGGAGAAACCAGTAATGTTGATGTAGTTACCCCAGTCCTTCGGTTTAGGGATCAATGACTTTGACCACAGGTAGGTGAAGGGTACCCGAAGACGCGGGAGCAGATGAAAGCCCCAAAGAGGGCTGATGGGGTCGAGACCAAGCTTCTGGTGGCGAAATTTGGATATCAAATCGCCGAGGCTAAATGCGGCGTTAGAATGCTATACGCTGCAATGAAATTAAAGAAAAAACTTACCCTTGCCATGTGAGGAGCTCCATCATAATGAAGGAAATGTAGTTGGCCATCTTTTTGTCGGCTCCGCCGTAGTTCATAGCGGCCAGAGGATGGGCAAAGGCGTCGGTTGGGGACCAGGGCATGGTAAAAACCATGTGCAGAGGAATGCCGAGCTTCTCGGCACAGTGAATATGAGCCATGGAGGGCGGATTGGCAATGATGACATCGGCGATGAAGAGCTCCTTTGGGTCCGTTACGAAGGCGGCGGTGACGGGTTCGCCCATGCCATTGCCAGCCTCGATACAGCTGCGCCAGCAGCCATTGATGATTTCCGCCATCTCGTCACGGCGCTTGCCAATATCGCCGGCCTTGACACTCTCTCTATTCGGCAATAGTCCCGGGTTTCGGACCATGTATGACATGAGAGCTTCCGGGTCACCACCAATGCTGAAGAACTCGACGCCCTGCTCCTCGACGAAATCTTTAAAGACGGGGTGCGTACAGATGCGCACCCTGTGGTTGAACGGAGCCGCGGAGAGGATTTGGGCAATGGGGATAAAGGGCTGGACATCGCCGCGGGAGCCAACAATGTGGATGGCAATGTTGAGAGGGGGGAATCCGGCGGGATCCGTCTTGAGGGCCTCGGGCGAGGTCGGGCGGCTGGCAGGGTGCTTGCAGGAGCGCTTCATCTGGAGGTCGTGATACCAGGAGGCGAGAGAATGCGCCTCGCTGTGGAAGCGAATCTTGAAGCGGCCATCGTCGAGCACGGAGCCAGACGGACCCTGCTCGAGGACGAGCTGGCCAGGCTCTGTCGACTTGGTGCGGAACATGGCGTGTGGTGCGTATTTTGCGAAGCTGCAAACAGGTGTTGGACCTGCCGGAGGAGGGAAGAGAAGGTGGGAAGCAGCAGCGAGCTCTCGATGGCAGCTGGAGCAGGCAATGGGCCAGGTCAATGGGAGTTGATGAAGCAAACGAAGAGAGCCAAGCACGAGCAGAAATACCAAGAGTAAAAGATGGGAGCTGTACCTAGTTTAGGTACCTAGACGGCGGGGCGCGCGCTGATCCGAGGCCCGTAGCGGATCACCCACCCACTGAAGGCCAGGCTCGGGGGTCCGCTGAAGCTTGAATGGGCGGGGCAGCCTTGCAACCCTGGTCAGAGGGGCGATGGGATGCAACGGGTGCTGAAGGTGCTGAAGGATGTTGAGAGGTATTAGCAACCGGCGCTGAATGACGTCCAACTAGATTCGACCTCGGCTCCAAGCGGCAGAGGATTGTTGGTGGCGACGGCTGACGGGAATTTGGGGGATTTTCCGGCGCCGCGACGGCGAGTGGAGATGCCGCAAGGCCCGAATACCAGTGGTTCGGGTAGTGGGTGGGCGCCTGTAAGTACAAGGGATCTATAATGCTTGAGTAGGATGCCAATGTTCATGCTGGGGGCATGGAGACGTTGAGAATTTAAGTAATTGAACTTTGGAAAGGATATGCCGGGGATCTTTTTCTTGTTGGGATATTTTTTTTCTTCTTTTTTTTTCCAATTTTCTATCTTGCTTATCAAGCGCCTGCACACTGTCATGCTCTTGTTCCACTGGTGTTCAGTTGCCTTTGACGCGCCCGGCGACTTCGGTCTTTGCCTGCCGCCACAGATAGCAACGGCCTGTTTCATCATCATCCGTGCCTCGTAAGATGGAAGATGGCCGCTGGTTCCGTCCTTACGAACGGCGTTTATACCTTGCTGCCTGACTTACATGGTGAATAGTTGTCAATATAACCGCGCTTCACTGCTGGTACCCTGGTCGACCAGGTACAGGGGTCGGCAAAGAGATCCTTGACGATCATGGATCATGCAGCGGTCGGTCACCTGGAAAGAAAACTTGGTCACAAAGCGAAAGCAGACAGGTATTACGGATAGAAAATTCAAAATACTACTGGCACTGCCCCCCATTTTGCAAGATCGATTTCATCAACAAGCATTTGCCGGCGCCACTTGTGCTAGTCAACACACCACCGGTGAAGCCGGGCCCGCCTGGCAGCGTCACAGCGCTCGGAGGTCTCGACTTTGTTAGCCTCGCGGCCCGCCCATCTTGTCAATCCTATCCATAATTTTACAAAATGCGGACTTTATAGTTTTGTAGCATCTAATATGCCGTCCAAGACATTTTCCTTCTCAAAGTTCCTTCCCAAACTTCTCTTCGTGTGTGGCGCCCTGGAACCTGTCTCGTAGTTCTTACATGACCAGGGTATCCGTAGCTCGGCGCTTGTTGGCGACTGACGGATCACTGACCAAACAAAACCACCATCGCCGCCTGCCCCCTTAGCTTGCTACCACGTTACGTTGCACACCAACCAGCAGCCATTGGAAGCTGTCGCCATCGACAACAGCCATCCTAGCATCCCCAATGGCTTCCTCACCACGTCGACCCTCCGCTTCCGGCAGCGGCGATGGCAGCGAGTCCGCCACCATTGTCGGTCGCGCCCGCCGCGCCTCCCTCTCCGTCCTCAACGCCAACCCCCAGCTGGGCATCTGGCAGGCCGCCGGCACCGCCATCGCCCAGGCCCCGAACCTGACGGAGCTGCGCGACATGGACATGGGCGCCGGCCACATCACCTTCAACTCCCAGGGCCACTCGGCCCGTCTGGCCGCCGTCTACGAGGACACGGGGCGCCTCGCGCTGGTCCGCAGCAACACGCGGGCCAGCACGGGGCTGGAGCAGCAGCAGCGCGCGGAAAAGGCGGCGGCGCCCGTATTGGTCGCCGAGGCGCCGACTGTGGCAGACGCTGCTTCTGCTGCGCAAGGCGAGGCGGCGGACAAGGACAAGAAGCACCACCACAAACATCATCTGTGGCATCACAGCCATGGCGAAAGCCACGGTAAGAAAGCAGACATTGGCCCGACAGTGGTCAACGGCCTGGCCGCGTTTTGGAGATTCTTCATCACGCCTGCAGGGTTCCTCATCACCATCTACTGTCTAAATGTCGTCGTACGTACGCAACCACCAAAACCAACGAGTCCAGCCGCTAACACTTATCTAGGCATGGGGTGTATGTGTGAATCATCCTTGTCCAAACTCGAACCTCGCTGACTCTCCAGGCTATGCTCTTCTTCCTGCTCCTCAAGGCCGCCCCTGCCATGAACCACCCGTCCGCCGACGACAACTCCTCGCCGCGCAAGAGCTGGCTCGAGATTGACTCGCAGATCCTCAACGCCCTCTTCTGCGTCACCGGCTTCGGCCTCGCGCCCTGGCGCTTCCGCGACCTGCACTACTTTGTCCGCGGCGTGCACATGCGCGAAAGGCCCGCCATGGCGAAGCTCGCCCAGCAGAACCGCGGCTGGTTCCGCCCGCCGACCTGGTACACCGAGGTCGAGGAGGCCGCCGCCGCCGACGCATCCTCGGACCAGGCCAAGCCGCCCACGTTTACCGGTCGGGTCGCGCCCCCGACACCCGTCTGGAAACTGGGCTTCACCATCTGGATGATGGTGCTCAACACCATACTCCAGGCCGTTCTCTGCTTCTTCATGTGGCACTACAACCGCATAGATCGCCCGGTACGTCATGGCACGCCCGTTGATTAACGCAATTGAATGCATCTAACCGGAAAATAGAGTTGGGCGACTGGTGCCTTCATCGGCCTCGGATGCGGCGTGGCGATGCTCGCCGGCCTCATGTCGTATTGGGAGGGCCGCAAAGTGAAGAAGATTGAAGGGCCCGCCGTCGAGGTTGTTGATGGCAAAGAGGCGGTATAAACGAATACGATCAATGCATCCGTATATCAACGGTACACCGGCTGACATCGTGCACGCTGGGCTCACGCGCAGAATCTGTACTTCATGAGACCGTGGTCCCGCGCTACAATCTTGTACACATTGACTTTGAGGATGACACCAGGCGATCCAACCTCTCGCATTAGAACTCGGGGCATCACTCGAGGTGTCAGTGAATATAACTCTGTAAATTATGGGATAATGTAATATACAATAATCCAAGAATAATGAAACATTAAGAAAAGAAGGCAGCGTATGATGAATGCATAAAAATGACACAGTAGCCATGATGAAGGAGAAATAAGCCCCAGACGACTGGATAACCAGCCGTCTACAACGCTGATGCTTTTTGACATGTATATGTTGTCTTCAACTTCGATCATCCATCTTGCTCATGTGAGCTTCCTGTATGGGCGTTGAGGACCTAATTGTCCAACTTTTCTTTGATGACGAGCATCGCTTCCTTGTCAGCGACAAATGCCGTGTCTGCCGTCTCTAGGCTCTCCTTCTCCGCTATTTGACGTAGTTCCTCCTTCTCGTCCGCGGTGAGCTCCGCCGACGCCGAGCCCAGACGCATGGTGGCCGTCAACAGCAGCGACACGCCTGCCAGTCCGACACCCAGCCATAAGCCGAGTCGATATTGCCGTGCCAAACTCAGGCTTGAGCCTGTGACTTTCTGCACAGATGAGATGAGCAAATCACTGGACCCGAGACAAAAGGAGCTACCAATGTAGATCAGGCAATTTGTGATGCCGCCCACCACAGCCTGGTCGCGCTTCGGCAGCGCCGTCGTCAAAAACACATTGGTGACGTTGAAAGAAAGGTCGATGCCCAGAGTTGCGCAAAACATGGCTGGGAATATGTACATCCAATAGAGAGTGCTCGTAGGCTGCCCAGAGTCGATTGGCAGAATGGCGAATAGCAGCACGCAAAAGAGAAAGCCGAGGCTGGACACGATGAGGAGGATCTGATTTGATAGTAAATGCAGCACCATGCCACCTATTATGGCAAGAAAGAGACCACCGAGAAAGAGGGGCGTGTACCAAGCGGCAGAGAGAATGGGGCTTGCATGAAGCACATTGCCGATGCTGAAGATTGTGTTGTTAGAGACCGAAAGAGAGATGTTGCCGAATCACAGCCGAGGAAGACTTACTAAAGACTGCTGTAAAACAAGAAGATGGAATTGACACCGTAAAAGCAAAACAGCGAGACGAATAGTCGAATCATGTACTTTGGTTTGAATATCCGCCGCGGCATGAGTGGCTGCGTCGATACCCATCCCTGCACGTAGACCGTCAGGCCGAGGCAAATAACACCCATCACTAAGCACACGACAATGTACGGCGTGCCCCAGCCCTGCGGCCCGTGGTTTCCCTCGGAAAATGCAAAGTTGATGAGCGCCAGCGCCGGCACCGACGTCACGAGGCCCAGCCAGTCCATGCGCGCGTCCGGGTCCACGTCGTGGAGCTCGCGCGGAATGGCGGCGTAGCTGACGGCGACGACGACGAACTGCAGCGTGGCGCCGAGATAAAAGTACCAGCGCCAGTCGGCGTACTGCGTGGTGAGGGCGGCTGTGAGAATGCCAAAGTAGAAGCCGACGGCCGCAAAGGCGCCGTAGACGCAGTACACGCGGTTCTTGCGGGGACCCGGCCGGTAGATCTGGCCGAGGATGGACAGGCCGGCCGGCAGGAACGCGCCGAAGCCGAGCCCCTGCATCGCGCGGCAGACAATGAGCGGCGTCGCGCTCGTGCAGAAGCCGGCCGCCGCCGCCCACGCCATCAGCCACACGTGGCCGCCGAGGAAGACGACGCGCGCGCTCCACTGGCTGCACAGCCGGGAAAACGGCAGCAGCGCGACGCCGGCGGCCAGATTGGGCACGGCCGTCGGCCACGTACGCGCCGCCTCGGGGATGTGCACCGCGCGTGTCAGCGTCGGCAGGATAATGTTGAAGCCCGAGGTGAAGTACTCGCTCATCATGAGAGACATGACGATGGAGATGACAAAGGCAACTTCGATAAAGGTGCTCGCAAAGATGGGCGGCCGCTCGCGTCCGAGGCGCTCGAGATCGGCTTGGGTGAGCTGGGCGGGCCGTGTGAGATCCAGCGATGTCAGCGTCGCGGTATCGGAGAGCTCTGCGGAGGAGGATGTCGCCGTTGATGACTTCCGACTCGTCATCGTAACGGTTGATTCCATCGAAAAAAAAACGCAAGTTCTGTGAACTTACACCTTTGAGGAAGCTTGAAGATTGCTTCAAAACCGCTTAAGGAAGGAGCTACAGAGTATTTTATGAACTGAGACTACGGGAAAGAGCTCTTTAAGCTCCCTTTTAACTAACCAGACAGCTTGGAGCTCCGTGTCTGTCAGAGGTCATGGACTTCTTGCCCCCTTCTTTCCTCGCAGCTTAAAAATGCGTAGACATTCCGGTGATGCCTCTCGGCTGCCCGATGGAGCAACAAGTGTCTCACTCTGGATATGGGCGCGCTACTAAAATGTCCGGACGCCACCCAATCAGACATCTTGCCGAACTGCGATGCATGTCAAGTGTCGGAGAAAAAAAGGCAGCGAGGAAGAAATCATGTGCGACAGGTCTCGCATGGAAAAGTGACAGTCTGGCTCTGAGAGTGAAGCCAGGCTGGAGACATTCCCCAGAGCCGTCGGTCGTACGTGCGCAAACCATTTGAGCATGAGACACGACTCACCATAGAGCCAGTCATTCGTCCGTGACCCTTTTCCCGGCGTACCGAGAGCCACTGCTTTCTGGGTCGTGTTTTGCTGGCGTATGTGGAGGCTGCAGGTGTTGGTTTGAGAATTTTGGGGCGAGTTCTTGGAAACATGGTACAATTGGTCGTAACTAATGGATGTAATTGCACAACCGGAAGCCTCTTCCGGATTTGCAGCAATCTTTTGGCTTGTCAGGGTCTGGGAAAATAACCTGCATCGTGGTGCTTCTTCCAAGCTCCGACGAACTAGCCATGTTGCCCGTGACGCTGGCGGCAGCCACCTTCTGAGCTAGCCTTGTGTAGCATCGCGATGGGATCAGTAGACGGCGCAGGAGGTTTCCTCGAAAAAGAAGTAAACCACGCCCGGTAACACTGTGACCCGGTCTCTCGGCCTGGACTAGAGGTCAGCAAAGACTGGAGTTGGCGTGTTATTGAGTCGGCGGCACTTGCACCGCTGCCGGATCAACAAACTTTGTTGCTGTCTCTCCATCATGTAAGGCACAGAAAATCTCGATGCCTCGGACTAGGATCTTGGCACTCCGCAGATGGTGGCTCATGGCTGGCGGCTTGTCGGGCATTCCAGTCATCCTACGTCATAAGCACTAGGCTGGTGACTGGCGGGCAGCACTAACAGTCCAAGTACCAGCGTTTTCTCTCCTTCCTGAGGTCTTGGCTATCCATTTCTGTGGATGGGGAGAGCTTCATGACGATTTCATAGAGAAAACTTATCCACAAGTAAGCCCTAGAGATTCCACTGGCGTTGTAGACGACGTTATTGCCGGCATTGCCGTTTCGGGCTGTCTATACAGAACATGGTGAACATTAGAGTAACGAATTTGTACGAACCTTGTAGTCCTTGACGCAAGAATAGAATAAATAGTCTCTTTTCCTCTGCCAGTTCTCCCCTCCCAAGTACTGACCAACATCATCCTTGAACACTACCTTCAATATGCACTTTAACTCCTTCCTCACCGTCGCTTCCGCCCTAGGCCTCGCGAGCCTCGCCGCCGCCGACAACGCGCACTCCAACCTGGACTGGTACGGCCCCAAGCAGGTGCATACCCAAGTGTGCGGCCACCCCGGCGATGAGCACCCCGAGGACTGCGACCAGTTCTACAACGACGTCCGCGACGAGCTGCACCAAAAGGTCATGGGCACCTGCAAGGAGGCGTCGTGCTCCGGCTCCTTTGAGCACTTCCGCTTCCAGGTCACCGTCGACGCCATCTTCCCGCCCGAGGCCAAGGGCGAGTTTGACGAGCAGATGCGCAACATCATCGGCAAGATGCTCACCCACGAGAACCAAAAGGCCATTACCCCGACCCCCATCGAGACCAAGTTCACCATTCCTAGCAAGATGATTCTCAACCGCTTCGGCGACGGCAACGAAAAGGGTCACCTGGAGATGACCGTCACCGTCGACGACGAGGACGGTCTTTGCGAGCTATTCCAGAAGATTGGTACTGCCGGCAGCGTCATTCCGGAAGTTGGTCCCTTCTTCGGCCTCATTAACCTGGCCGACTGCTAGATGTAGCTACGGTACAGATGTAAATATGGGACAAGCGATGGCGCTACGGGGCTATATACCTATAAAAAACTACCTAATTACGCACATTGTTTAAACCCATATGTGGATGTGTGTGATGAGGTGTAGTGATGGTGTGTAGTGATAGACAAAGTCTTCGACTACTGAAACGCCACATTGTGCTATCGACGTTCTTGGAGAAATCACACCTTCCTTGGCTGATCCACATTACACCCTTTCGTAAGAGCTTAGATGATAAGCGGATATCATTCTCACTCAATCTGAACTAATAGGTTGCCAAATATTACATGTTGACCCCGCCGCTAACTGGCAACCTTGTGGCCACGACTAAGACTGCTTACACAACTCGAAATGGCATCCCCCGTCCATCTACGGGAGTCATTCACAGGGGACTCAACACCACAGGAGGCTATAAAAGGACCAGAGTAGTATAATGCATAATAAAATTGATACGCCTGATTGACGAGAAAATAAATCGCGCTATTGCTTCGGGCAAGCTGAGTCGTTACTTGCAAGATAGTCTATACAATGAGAAAGTGGAAAGAAGGGAAGGAAAAGAAAATAGGGAAAAAGCAAAGCCAACATGTGTAAATCCGTGAATGCCTCCAGGCTTTTATGCGTTAGAGATGCCGCCAGAGAAGGAGAGACCACCGGCAGACTGGTCAACCTCCATCGAGTGTTTCAGACCGCAGACTTCAAACAGCTTGACGGGGGTGAGATCCTTGGGCGTGCCAACAACACCGGTCGTCTTGAGAAGCGTCAGCGTCTCCTTGATGGCTCTGTAGGCGGGGACAATGCAGGCAAAGGAGAAGATGATGATGCGGAAGCCCATCTCGCGGGCCTCGTCGACGGTGATGGTCGGGCTGGCGCCGTTCTCGACGCTGTTGAGGAGCAGGGGCCAGGGCGCGAGGTCCTTGACCGCCTGGGCGGCCTGCTCCTTGCTCTTGAAGCCCTCGAGCAGGCCGACGTCGGCGCCGAGGTCGCGCGCGGTGCGAAGGCGCTCGATGCACTCGTCGTAGCCGAGCGACTGGAGGGCGTCGGTGCGGGCAATGAGCACAAAGTCGGAGCGCATGCGGACGCGGGCCGCGTGAGCGGCGCGGATGCGCGAGTAGTACTCCTCGCGGGGCACGACCTTTTTGCCCGACAGGTGGCCGCAGCGCTTGGTCAGGACCTGGTCCTCGAGGTGCGCGCCGGCGACGCCAGCGCGGATGTACTGCTCGACGGTCCGGGCAGCCATGATGGGACCTGCATCCGAGTCAGCGGGTGGTCTATACGGTGAGACAAGGGGGAAGGGGGGGGGTTGCACATACCGCCGTAGCCGGTATCCATGTCGGCAATGAGAGGGGGGCCAAAGGGGTCCAGGTTGGCAATCATCTCGGCGTTTTCGCGCATCTCGTGGAGCTGGGCAATCGCCAGATCGGGCTGGCCCAGGCGGGACGCGGTGGTACCGGCACCAGTCTATACTTTTTGTTAGCCGGATCGGATCGCGTGCGGGAGAGCAAAAGGGGCCAGACGTACCATGTAGAGGGCGCTGAAGCCGGTCTCGATGGCGGTACGGGCCGACAGGCCGTCGTAGACACCGGGGCAGACGATGAGCTCGTTGGACTCAAAGATCATCTTGCGCAGCTTGGTGGCGCCAATGGCGGGCATGTCGACGGCGTCGACGTAGTTCAGGGGAAGGTACTCGACGGAGCTGCCCTTGGACTCAATGATGGCCTCCTCGACGACGGGGGCGGTCTCGACGGGGGCGGTCTCGACGGGGACAGTCTCAATAATAGGGGCCGCGACCGGGGCCGCAACGACCGGGGTCTCAACAATATCGACAAAAGAAGGCGACATTTTTGTGTGTTTGAGGGATGGAATGGAGGAAGGGTAGAATGATGTTGTAGAAAGATGGCGTGAAAGGAGGTTGTATAAGGATGTTGTATAGAAGAATGATGAGAGAATGCTGCGAAAGGCGATTTATCACGCGAGCAGTTGTAGAAATGAAGAGAACAAGACTGGCTTAATACTTTCAAAAAGGATCAGAACAGAGGGCCTACTCGGCTTCTTTATAGTCTTGGACACGTCTTTCGTCAGCTCTGTCGTTGAGCGTGAGAGATCCACAGCTGAAGCGCAACGAGGATGGCCATTATTGCAAATCACATCGAGACCGGAGTCCGGATTTGATCCTACCAGTAATACTGCCTATCTTGGACGGGCAAGTCAAGCTTTGCTTTGGGGGGGCAAGCAAGGCAAGCAAAAGAAGGAATCCCTGTCAGTGATTGCCAGCCGCTGCGAACCAAGGGCTCAGGCGATTCCAGCTTTGTGGGTCGACGAGATGACACTACTGAGAAGTATGCTTATTCTCCCTCACGTAACTTGATGTCTTGGAAGGCCGACGCTGGAGGAAACTTGGGTCCGTCAGTTGAGGCGCCTTGATCGCTGCCAAGGCCTGGCCATCCTCAGCATCGCCGGGGGCCAGGTTCTGTTTGTCAACCGATTGAGTGATTGTCTGCGTGGTGTGGCGCCAATGGCACGCCACGCACGGAGGAGTGTATAATTACTGTATGATTTGATTGAGACTGAGTAGAACAAAAAAAATAAAAAAAAATCTATTGGAATCTATAGAGTTCTTTAATTTCAGCTATATTCATTGTATTCACTTGCCCCCATAACTTCCTTCATCTATATATATTCAAAATCGACTAGTAATTCCTTAAAAAATATACATAGATGCAGAGGAAAACAGAAATGTAGTAGAGCCAGGTAAACATGGACATATAATGTGCCCTTTCAATGTAGGTAGGCTACTATCCGTACAACGGCGTGGGCTTGCCATCGAGCCACCACCGCCACCACCGCCACAAAGCGCCCACGACAATTACTCTGCCCCAGTTGACAAACAACCACTTGTCGTCTGGATCCCAACCCTTTGGCGCCATCGGTCATTGTCGTCCTGCTCCCAGCCTTTTGACCGCAACTTTTGATCTGTATTCGTCTTGAACAAAAAAGTGCTGCGCCTTGTTCATTTCCAGCCTGTCACGGTCGGCACAGCGCCTGTCTTGGCGACCGTGTTCTCGTTCGGCGGCCGTCTTCCCCGGAGCGTGACCATGGACGCGGCGCCGTCTTTCTCGAACATCTGCATGTCTTGCGGCCGTCGGAAATGACCGGTAAAACACACACACACATGCCTTGTCTCATCAGCTAGAGCGTAAGCCCATCCGGCTTCCGAGCGTTATCGTTTCTAGTTACCGAGGCCGCTCTCGCAAACGACGACGACGACCGGCTTCATGCAGGGTTTGGGGTAGTGCTCGTCGGCTTACAAGCACCTCACACTCGACGTTGCATCGCGACTTATAATAAAGTGGAAACTTTAGTAAGGTGGTGAGTTGTGCAACGGGGCTTCTGTCGCTTGGCAGACTAAGAGCTAACATCATGGTCTGCCCAAGCCCATTCAGCGACGGCCCAATAGGAATGCCATGTATGCGCCCGCATGTCCGGAACGCGGAAAAAAGGTTAAAAAAGAAAAACGGCATGCTGGCTGTTGTGAGACCGGCTGACCGGGCTCACGGCTTCGCCACGAGGGAAGAAGAAAGTCTCTCGACAAGAGACAAGGATCTCGCAACACTATCCGGTCCAGAGATTGGCTTGGCAAAGACGTCCGATGCAAATGGCATTTTGATAAGTTTTTGGTCTGAAATTTCCACTGTCTCGCGAGCGGATCCGATCCCGCTCTGTGTAAGATCCGCCTCCCGCTATTATCCCAGACTCATGCGCTATTTCCCACTTAACCACAGACCCTGGTCCCTCCTAAATTTCTTATCCGACTTGTCCCGTTTTTTTTTCCTCTTCTTTCCTTCCCGGATCCTTTATCTGAGTGCCGTCCGGCTTGTCTGGGCGTCGTTATTAACAGACGAACCTCGCTCCCCTTCTCCCCCCCCTTGCCAAACCGTTCCCGAAAGCATGAGCACCCAAAACCCAATGCCCGCACACGAAACGAAAGAAGCCATGTCGTCGTCTGAAGAATCCAAGCACGATCCCGAGTCGGGCCGCGCCGTCGAGAAGCCGAGCTTTTGGGCCAGGTACCTGAAGGAGGTGGACAACAAGCGCGCATATGTGGTGATGCTCGCCTGCTGCTTCGTCTCGGGCCTGACGGATGGCACAATCTACAATGGTATGTTCTGGGGATCAATCCACACAAGAAAACGGCATTGGGACACAATTGACACGTTTTCTCTCTCTAGCCTACGGAACTTTCGTCTCCATGCAAACAGGTGAGTCACAGTTCGTCGCGTTGCACGGGCGGGCAGCCAGAAGCTGAACAAAACATTACAGGCAACACCATCTTCCTCGCCCTCGGTACCTCTGGCTACAACAACAAGCCCTTTGGCTGGGCCCGCTCCCTCTGCTCGATCGGCTTCTTCATAATCGGCTCCTTTTTCTTTGCGCGCTTCGCCATGCTCCTCGGCGGCAAGCGTCGCGGCGTGCTGGCACTCTCCTTCTTCGGGCAGGCCATGCTCGTCATGATTGCGGCGGCGCTGATCCAGGGCGGCGTCATTGACGGCTCGTACCCGTCGCACCGCGCGCCCGGCTCCGTCGACTTCAAGGAGATTGCCGTCATCGCGCTGCTGAGCTTCCAGGCGGCCGGCCAGATCGTCTCAAGCCGCAGCCTGGCCGTCGGCGAGATCCCGACCGTCGTCGTCACCAGCATGCTGTGCGACCTCATGTCGGACCCGGCGCTGCTCGTGTGGGCAAAGAACGACAAGCGCAACCGGCGCTTCATGGCCTTTGTCCTCACGCTGGTAGGCGCCATCTGCGGAGGCTGGATCTCCAAGGCGTCGGGCGCGGTGCAGCCGTCGCTGTGGACGGTCGCGGGTATCAAGCTGCTGCTCGCCATTGGCTGGCTGTTTTGGACGGAAAAGTGAGAGAAGCGCAAACAAGGGCGTGGTCGGCACCGGAGTCATGATGCATTTTCCCTTTTCCCAGCGCTGCATATAGAGCCATAGACAGAAGAAGCGCAACACAGTCGCATTCGCATTTCAACAATTTGTGCACGGCATTTTTCACCAGTGCATAACCTGAACTTACTACTTGCGACCGTGGGCACTCAGTGTCTCGGGGGCGAAGCGGCTTGGCTGGAATGGGCGAGCCACCCGTCGAGTTGTCTTGCTTCCTCTGGTTTGATCACTGTGACGACTAAATTCTTGTTTGATCATGTAAGTCTCAGAAATTGCTAATATGGCTTTTAATTATAATATTTGAAGGCTTTTTTCAAGTGTCAAGGCTAGCGTCTCTGAAGCACGTCCCCATCTCTGCCACAGCGCTGTATCAGTATTGTCAGAGCCAGACCTGGCCAATGAGCAAGGTTTCATCCTATTTAGCATGTGAGCCAAAACCCTTCAACCAATAGACTGCCGCTGGTTTTCGGGGGGAGCTTTTCATGTAATATGCCCGATCAGGCAGAAACTCTGGAATGCTCAAGCATGATTGGTCACGCGCTTTGGCATTGTCTCGTGAGAGGGCGTCCATCTTCACATGCAAATCGAGAAGAACATCTCCGCAGCAAATGCCATTTTCTGGTTGGTCGAACAAGTCTTATTAACGATGACGGGTACCATAGACGCAAGGTTTTTGCGTGGCTGCCCCTCATTCTTTGCCTCGGCGTTTTTTGCCGCGGGGTTGGGCGGGCTCTCGGGACAACGAGTCAAGCGTACGCGCTGCCGCCCCAACCAACCATCACATAAGAAAGCAGAAATATGCTTATTACACTACGTCCTCGTGGCAAGCTTGTTGGGGATGGATCAAGCGTGATGGTCGTTCCCCGCATTCTGCGGCGGCCATGGCGCCTCCTCCCTGCCCAGGGGCGGCAACACACGTATATAGCCCGTGTCAACCCTCTCGGATTTTCTCTGTACATGAATCGCTAGTTACCGTGCAGACATTGCCACGACTACAGATACCATATACGCACAAACCAAGGCCTCCCTGCCCACCATGTCTGCACCGCCTGCCAGCGCCAAAGACTCGATGAAGTCGACCTGGCGCACCTGGGACCGGAAACGCTGGAACCACAACCACTGGATCCTGCACATCATCAACCCGTTCCACCGCGACCTGGACCGCGCGGTGCCTGTCCACGCCAAGACGGACAAGGTGCCCAACGTCAGCACCACGGACCAGCACGTCTGGATCCTGCTGCACGCGGCCGTCGTCCTGGCCGTCCACCAGTCCTGGCTGTCCGTCACCGGCATCCGGCTGCCGTTCCTCGCCGCCGTCGGCTACTACACGGCCGGCTTTCTCTGGGTCGTGGTGCGGCAGCTGCACACGATCCGGGAGCTGGGACACACGTACGGCTTCCTGGACGGCGAGAGCGAGCGCGACGGCATCCCCGACGCCGGCGTCTCCCGGGTCCTCGGCGCCGGATGGAAGACGGCCGGCGGCCGCATGCTGCTGGCCGCCTACCTCGTCTACACGCCGGCCTCGTCGCCCCTCGCGGCCATGAGCGCGCTGTCCTGGTGGGTGTGGCTGCCGTTCCAGATCGGGCTCTACGGCGTCGTCCTCGACTTTTGGTTCTACTGGTACCACCGGGCCATGCACTCCGTCGGCGGCCTCTGGCAGTTCCACCGCACCCACCACCTGACCAAGCACCCCAACGCCATGCTGTCCGCCTACGCCGACGACGTGCAGGAGTTCTTCGACATGGTCGGCATCCCCTTCCTGACCTTTCTGACCTTTCGCGCCGTCGGCATCCCGCTCGGCTTCTACGACTGGTTCGTCTGCCACCAGTACACGGCGTTTACCGAAGCCGGCGGCCACAGCGGCCTCCGCCTCAACATCCAGGCCGCGACCCCCTTCAGCCCCATCCTCAACTACTTTGACGCCGAGCTCAGGATCGAGGACCATGACCTGCACCACCGCAAGGGCTGGCGCAAGAGCCACAACTACGGGAAACAAACCCGTGTGTGGGATCGGTTATTCGGCACTTGCCACGACCGCATCGAGTTGGTCAAGGAAAATGTCGACTATACCAATCAGGCTCGGATTCCGCTATTTTAGACATTTAACGAAGGTTCTTTTTCGGAGGGGGGGTGCGAAGAACAGCAACGAGACCATATTATACCCTGCAGAGTTATGCACAAGAATGAAGGATTGAAACGGCCGTCTGCATATGAAATGTTGCTACGGGGGAGTAGCAGTTGTTGACACAACGGCACAACGCCCTAAGACGGAAAATTATGAATGCCGAAAAAAGGAGAAAGTATTTGAGGTGAAGCGCAGCTAGCGAGGAAGTCAATGTATATGTCATGAGAGAGGTAAATAGCTGATAAATACGTCTTACAACTCCTACTTTGTGTGACTTCTGTTTCATTACACGCATAATTCCTTTCCTAGCACACTTCTGTAAAGTTCTGGCATCGTATCGCCTTTCGACGGGTCAACCACCGGGTTCCATCACGATCCGATCAGCAGCGCCATAATTGTGTACAAGTCAGGTGACGAATTCACACTTGGTAGGCATGAGAGACCTACGACTAGTTAGGGCTCGGAAGGCCCGGGGCGCACCTTTTCCCCCTCGCCAAGACCCGACGGGCACATGCTCTGCCTTGTGAAAGTTGATCCAAACCAAGCCATTGTACCCCTACACCATCTTCACTGAGCCACGTAGTCGCGGCTCTACCAAGATACAGCCAGCGGCGAGGGCTTTGACCCGATACGGCAGTGAATGAGGGCGATCAAATCCTCCACGAGAGGTCTTGGTAGAGTCGTCGCCCACTCAAACTTGTTGGCATGTGACGGAGTCCTGGCAGTGAGTCTGCAGCTGGGAACCCACACAGGCCGTCAAGTGCCGGAGTCTGCTGATGAATCTCGCGTGGAAAGCTGATGGCCGGCCGTGTTTTCCTCAACAAAATGAAAGTCTGACAAGTGGACTGCAGTAAAAAGCATGTGAACGAGCAGACTCTTGCGCGACAACTCGCTGGCTACTCTATCCTCAAGTACGCGAGGTTCCAAATGTGCTCACCAAAGAATGAGATAAAGTGTTTGGTCAAAAAAAAAAAGTTCTAGCCCGCTGCTTTGCCGGTGATCATTCCAGACAAGCCGTGTCCTCCTGCACCATGATTGTGGACATGCAATGAAGCCGCACACACTCTTCGGTTGACGGTTGAGAACACGTCATATTTCGGCCGCTCCTGCCTACTGGGTACTGTGAAGAGTCCAGATACATATAAAATGTGAACATGACGAAAGCTGGGGCTGGTGTTGATCATTGGCGACCCATGCGAGATGTTACCGGCTGTGGAGAGCCCTGGAGCGCACATAGAGAACTGTTCCAGTGGCACATGTTTCCGATGAGACCTACTCGTCAGCTCAGCACCTCCAATTATGATATAACCGTGAGAATTGCATGAACTGGCCAAGTTCCAAATGATATTTGTGCTCGTCCAACCAAGAGCGCGAAAATCCCCGCTTATGCCGTTTCGACATGAGGCCAAGGTAGCAGTGGTTCAGCTCGCGCTCATTCGGAGATGCTATTATTCCATTTTCCTTTTTTCCTTTTTCTCCTCTATATATGCAATTTACCTAGCTACGCAGAGTGCTTCCGCTGCTTACACCTATGTGCCCGCTGTTTGACCGCGCAGAAGCCCGGCCGCCCGAGACTACCCTAAACACCAAAGGTTTAAAGAAGTAGCCACGCCCTGATCTGTCTAGTATGTATGTAATCCGCATACTTTGTCCATTTCCAGCCCTTATCTGCAGGTTCCCTTGAGAATCGCACCAAAGATGGCGCCGCCCGGGATCGAACCGCCCACCGCTCCCCACATGTCATTAACCAGTCCGCACGCGCTCTCACCACCAGTATCCAGCATGATGTGCATCGTCGACCGGAGGCCATGATCCCCCGTGTCGCGCACAATATTGATATCCGTCGGGATTTCCACCTTGATCTGGTTGACGCCATTCGTGGAGAAGAAGCCGCAGTCGGTGCTCTGCTTGTTGAGCTTCTGGAGGGTGTTGGTGTAGGCCTCCTTGACGCCGTCGCGGTCGCCGTGCGTGTACTCGGCCTCGATCCGCAGCGCGTAGGCCTTGTTGGGCCCCGTGTGCTTGGAGTCGCAGCCGTCGCCGGGGAAGTGGATGTCGAACGAGCCCTCGCAGGACACGTCCTTGCACAGGTCCTCGAAGGCCTTGTCGAACTGGTCCCAGAGCAGCCGCAGCGTGTCCTCCTTCTTGGGGTAGCACTTCTCGTAGTTGCCCTTGCCGCAGCTGTCAGGGTCCCAGAAGGCGCCGATCCAGTGCTTGGTGCCGTAGCGCGTGTCGGCGTGCGCGTCGGCGGCGACGAGGGAGACGGTACCGAGGCCGCACGCCGCGAGGCAGAGGAGGGAGGGGGTGAGCTGCATGGTTGGAGGGTGTTTTGGAGGAAGCTTGAGGGAGGTGACGAGAGGACTGTTGCTGTTGCTTGCGGTGATGCGCTGGATTTTATAGATGGTGGTCTTTGTGGGATTGTAGTCTATGACGTACGGCTTCTGACGAGGGCTCTGCTTCTCATCGATTTATCCGCCGACTCACAAAGTATTGGTGAGACTAGTGCTTATTCGGCTCAGAAATAGATCACCTTGTCGTGGAGAAGAAATCCTAAACTGGCGTACCGGCCAGGTACATGTCTGTCCAGCCAGCTGACGGAAGTTTCCGCGTAATATACATGCCGAGTTTCTCTCAGCCCTATGAAGCTTTCTGGTCAGACCACTTCACGCTGAAACCTCCAATGCAATTCCCCTTTACGAGTCGATCATGGATCGAGTACCGTATTCTGCCATCTAATGGACATTGGCGTGTTACCTCTACGTCACAAGTCAGCACAGGCTTCCATCTACGGAAATAAAAGACCGGACAAGGCTGGGGGCGGCTCCGCTCGTGCACCCACTGGGTCGGCCGGTTGCCGAATCAAGGTAACCCCGGGCCCCAGCCACACCCGATGGATTGCAGCACATCGAGATCCGAGCCTCGTTTTTCTACCAAAGAAGCGTATTTTTAGTGATAATATGAAGCACACTCTGCCCCGTAACATCTCCATCGACTAATTCATGACTAAGACAATAGCGCTTCACGACTTGAGGTGACAAAGAGTATCCGGGCGCACTTGTACGTTCCGGCCTGGTGAGCCCAGCTCGCTGAGCGTGCAGCCCCGGGGTCGAGTCGGTCGTGCAAGTGAGAGGAAGCCGAGTCCCTCGTCAAATCTACAGTACAGGATCGAAGCGTTTCGCAACATCGCCTGCACCACCGGCCGCGCCAAACATGGACCGCAAATCCAGCGCGAGCTGCTCCGGCCGCTCGTGCGCCGCAAAATGCCCGCCTTTGTCGTGGACGGCCGCAAATACCACCGGCCCCAGACTGTGCGCCCAGCGCTGCGGCGGCACCACGACGTCGCGCGGGAAGAGCGACACGCCGAGCTTAACGCGGGGCACGTAGCAGAGGCCCTGCGCGTACTCGTCGGCGGCCGCGTGCTTGGTCTCGTAGTAGATGCGCACGCTGGCGGCGGGCCCCGCGCGGGAAAACTGGTACAGCGAGACCCAGGTCAGGATCTCGTCGTCGGCCCAGGCGTAGTCGTCGGTCCAGTCGCGCAGCTTCTCGTAGATCCAGGCGAGCAGCGCGACCGGGGAGTCGGCGAGGGCGAAGCCGAGCGTCGACGGCTTGGTGCTCTGCGTCGCGTTGTAGCCGAAGCCCTCGGTGCGGAACCAGGCGGAGCGGGCGAGGCCGGCCTTGTCCGCGGAGGTGTAGGGCGTGAGCGCGCTCTGGAGGTAGAGGAGCGGCGACTGGGAAAAGGTTGGTGGGTTGTGGATGCGAACAAAGTTGACGTGCGAGGCGAGGCAGTGGTCGGGATAGTTGGCTCCGACGAGTCGGGTAATCATGAAGCCCCAGTCGCCGCCTTGCGTGACTTTTCGTCAAGCCTCTGTTAGTGGTGGTGTGCGAAGACTTTGGGTGGCGACATACCATATTCTGTGTATCCCAGCTTGACCATCAACTTGTGCACCGTTTCAGCATATTGCGTGATGCTGAAACCCGGCTTCGTTACGACATCTGAGAAGCCAAAGTTTGGCAACGAGGGCGCGACGATGTGGAAAGACGGACTGCTTTCCGACGAGGTAAGCAGCGGGAGAAGCTTGACAACTTCCAGAAAGCTGCCGGGCCCTGCTACGCGTTAGCCAACCACCCGTTGACTCTGTTCGTGCTGTTCTCGAAGACGAACACCCGTGTACAAACAGCAGCGGGATGCTGTTGGCATTGCTGCTCCGCTGATGTAGAAAGTGAATGTTGAGCGTGCCGAAGCCGTCGACCTCGACGGGCGTCGTGAACTGCGGCAGCTTGTTCAGGGCAGCTTCCTGCGCGCGCCAGTCGAAGCCGTCTCCCCATCGCTGGGCGAGGCGCTGCACGTCGCTCAGCGGCGCGCCGTAGTTGCCGTCGTCGGAGAACTCGACCCGGTCGGCAAACGAGGCGGCTGCGAGCTTGGCCCACAGCTGCGCGATGGCGGCGTCTGGGACAGCGATCTGGAAGGGTGAGATGTCGTCGGGCATTTTCTGTTTCGAGGAGCGCTTGATTCAATGAGGTAGGCTATGTGATTTGCGACGACATGATTTATAGCCGTCTATGTGGCCATATGGCAGCATACATACAATCGCCAGCATTTGTCATCGTCTCGGCATTCGATCCGGCAAGTTGCCAACAGCTACCACGTTGCCACGCAACAACAAGCAGGCGGAGTCTCTGTAGCGACGAATGGCGAAAGAAATCGTAAAAGGCGGTGGCGTATTCAAGTTCAAAATAAAAGGCAATCCACGCAGCATAGCATTTGTCCCCTGGTTGATAGGCTACCACTCCAACATTGACTCTGAATGTCAGAGTTATCAGTATTTTGAAGCAGTGCTCGCTAAACTCTTTTGGCGTACCCCGCAAATATACACAGGACAGTACCGAGCTGCCCGGGTACCTACCCGGTTGCCTGGGTGGGAGGTGTTTTCTGACATGACCTCTGGGGGATTTTTATAGAATAAAATATTTTGAAGGCATGTCATGATAGAAAATGCATGTTGGAAATGCCTTTAAAATATGCCAGAGATACCCCATATTCATCGTGACATGGCTAAGAAATATGTCAGATGGAGAAAACATGTTGGAGGCCATGTGAGACCACCCCCTCCTGTGCATCTCTCTAGCTAGCCCGCATCTTCCAACATACATCATCTTCCATCACACCTGACAGGCTTATTCAAAAAAGACACAGACGCCATCGCATCCTGGCTTGCGTCAATTGCAAAGGCAGCGGGCTTCAAAACAGGCAACTTGTCGGCTGCGCCTGCCCCGGCCAGCACTGGCGGTGGTCGTCTCAAAGGGAAGGCGCGCAAGCAAGCAAAACTGGCCCCTAGCGAGCCCGCCACTGCCCTCCCTACCAAATATGTCATTCGCATTCGCGGCTTCACCGTACTCGCCCGATACATTCTCGAAAAGACCATCGCCGTGCCTCTGTTGTTTCAATCGACACTGAACCGTGCCATTTCAGCACGTGCCGGTTTCGGAGCCAAGCTCACGGAGCATGGCTCTGGTCCTGACCTAGCCGCCGATGCAAAGCACGAGAATTTTGTATGGTAAGATACCCGGGGCATCATGCTCAAACAACCAAATCTAACTTATCAGCAGTGCTGAAACATGTAAGAGCCATCTTGACGTCGCTCATGACACCACCTGGCGACGACAGATCCTCACTCCAAGATGATACCCTGCCGAACCGATTCGCCGGTCTCGACATTTACCAGCCGTCTGCTGCGTTTTTAGCTGCTCCAGATATCCAGAGGCCAACAAAACCCGATGCCGACCCGGTCGACTATGTTGCGGAAATATCCACGTCCCTTGAAGATACCATCACGACACTATGGATGCTAATGGACGACATGAACACGGCTAGAGCTTTCCTCCAGTCGATCTGGAAAAACGCCAGCAACAGTACTGTCTTGCTTACCGCTGACGAGGTTCAGCGCATCATTGAGCTGTGTGCATATGAAACCTCGACGGACGAGGAAACGGGCCAAACCCTGCTCTGCCAGATTGAAGATGAGAAGAAGGTAAGGGAGAAGAAGAAGCTGCGACACGAGTTCGAAAGTGGTTCAAAGCTCTCCAAGTCGGGCCGCGGCGAACCCCGCGTCTCTTTTAGTGTGATGATGGACCTTCTGGTCAACGCGCTGCAGGCCGAAACGGTCGAGTTCCCGTTCCCGTACGTGATGATGCACCGCCGGTGCTGGCAGCTGTTCCGCCATGTGCGAGACGCCTGTGAGCCGCAGCTGAGGCAGCTGTTGGGGCCGAATTACTTGGAAACTGAGAGCCAACACTCACGGGCTATCTCCTTCTACAGGCATGCGAGACCGAAGACCACGTTGCCAACCTGGGGCCGCTGAAAGCGGCGGCGCAAGCCGTGAACGAGATACAGGATAGCGGGTTCGACCGAGCCATCGTTGAAGATGTCTTGAAAGGTGTCATGAGTATTGGGGTTGGGACTATCGACTAACGGATGTGGCGCTGTGTACCCTGGGCCTATTCGAGCGGCCCTTGACAAGACCTCTTGATAAGACTGCGACTCTCGAGAGAATTCAGTCTGGCGCTATCGCACCGCACCGGGATCAACCGTGTACCTTCACAGGTTAATTTGTGCTTGTCAGGCATTCTTTGCCGACCAACAGCCCCGACTCGCGGAGACTGTACCACCTCTCTCCTTCTTTGGATAACAGATTTAATTACTATATAACCCTATTCTGGGGCTCGGTCCAGACATCTAGGCCCACCCTTCCGCAATGATGTAGCTGGCGTCATCGTTGAACAAGTACCTCGCGTCTTCGACAAAAGGACCGCCATTGCTGGCAATGGACACTTTGCTGTTGAAGTGACGCCAGTAGCGCGTGGGCTGGCTCCATGAGCGCATCGAGCTGCCCTTGCCGTTCAGACCAGCCTGGGGGCAAAACGTGGCGTCCTCGGCAAACGTCTTGCTGTCGTCCTTGCGGTTGACGAGCAGCGCGTAGCTGTAATGGCGGATGAAGCTGCCCGGCGTGTCCGTGGACTCGAAGGAGAAGCAGTCCTTGCTGCCCAGACCGGCGCGCACGATCCAGGTCGACTGGCGCTTCAGGATGTCGCTGCTCGACGAGGACACGTCCCGAATCTTGACGACGTCGCCCTCGTGGCTAATGTAGCTGCCCGTGCAGCAAGCCGTCGTCGCGCGCAGGGAGATGGACGAGCCGACGGTGAGCTGCGGGCCGCTGGTCAGTGGCGCGGCGGCGTAGCTGGCAGCGGCAATGTTGGCCTGTACCTTGTTCTCCGTGTCGTCGGATGGGTACCCCGAGGTCATGACGCCCTCGTAAAACGTGCCCTGGGCGCGGTTGCTGTTGTCCCCGCCGATGCCGAGAATAATGGATCCCTCTTTGGACATTGTCTGGTACGCGCCCTCGGGACGGCCGCCATCGAACAGTGTCGCGAGCTGGGGCGAGTTGGCATCGCCGCCGCGCAGCGCCCAGTGACGGGGCTCTCCTTTGAGGATCGCCGTGATAAACCGCGAGGTCATGTTTGACTTGAGTCTCTGATCGCGCTTGTCTGTTGCGAACAGCCCATTCTCCAGGTCGGCAAGGACCCAAGGACTGTTCTCTGGGCCTCCCCAGTAGAGCGCCTCCATGTGGCCGTCGCCGGTATCTTTGCTGTTGGTCTCGGCATTTCCATAGTCGAAGCAGCAGTCATCGTTGTAATGAGTGCCGTCAAAGACAGCGTACATGCCCTCGGCCTCGTCTCCCGTCGCCGTGCCCTCGCCGACGAGCTTGCGGTAGCCCGTCCCGATGGACACGAACACGCCGTACGCCTTGTGCCCGTTGAGCGTGACCGGGGCCGCCGTCGCGCTCGCCAGCCAGTCGTAGCCGTTTTTATTCGGGCCAGGGCCGGCGCTTCCCGGCGGCGCCTGCGTCAGGTGGTTGCCCTTGCCGGACTGGTCATAGATGGTGGTGATGAGGCAGGTCGTACCGGCGCAAAAGGCGTCCTGCGCGGCGGCGTCGGCCACGCCGCCGGCATACTGCAGCGCCTGGATGTCGATGGCGGCGTCGTCCGAGTCGCGGGAGATGCGGTAGAGCGCGCCGCGGAAGGCGTCGTAGAGGGCGCGGGTTGTGCTGTGCGCCGCGACGCACGGCGCGCCGCCGGCCTGGTAGATGTCGCAGGGGCCGGCGCGGACCACGCACGGGGCGGCTGCAAGCGCGAGAGCCAGCAGGCCGGCGCGAGGTCTTGAAAACATGTCTGGTGTGAATGGGAAAACTCTGGAGACGCTGACGAGAAAGCTGCGACTCTACTGGTTTTGAATCCTGAAACAGCATCGGCAGAGATGGGGCCAATTTATAGGCGTATCGCTTCCTCCTAGCCGCCCAGGAATTATGCCTTGACCGTACTGGGATCCGGGCTTAGGAGAAAGTTCATTGTGGCCGGTCATGCTTCTGCGGTTGCTCATGTGCTGCCGATATGTGCTGCTCATGCGACGCCGACATGTGGTATCCACGCGATGCCGACGCCAGTGCGCTGCAAGAGATGCCGCACTAGTCCTGCTCGTGATGGTATTTTGTTCAAGGTAGGCATGGAGTGTAACGCTGCCAAAGCGGTCCTTACCGTGGCGGATGTCTTGGTGATGTCCCGAATGACACCGTCGCCGCCCGGGGCCGAGAAAGGCCCGTGGGGGGTGGTTTTCTTTGTCGCCATGGGAGGGCGGCTACAACCTTGTCACATTCCCTCAAAGAAGGGTGCGAATGAACAGTTGAATGAATTCTACCCGGTCCAAAAGTCTACATGGGAGGATTACGCTGGAGAAACGTTCGGACTGGGGCCGTAACTAGTTGAGCTCTTTATGTGAGGCTATTGGGAGTCAATCGGCAACTGCCTTGACTGCTGCGCCGGAGACTGCGGAAAGTCGTGCGAGTTCGCTCGTCGTTGGATCTAAGAAGATGGAATTTAAGGGAGCCAACCTTTGCTTCAGTTTCATTGTCTTTTCCAGTCAGCTGCCGACCAGCGTTGGAACAATAGTTTCCAAGGCTTGGTTACTCAAACTGCTCAACCAGACAAGACAGTGGACAAGCAAAAGACGGGTAAGGAACACCATCAATAGCTCCACAAATGTGCTTAGAAAACGTCCCGAGAGGCACTATTACATTGCCGATGCCGCGTTTTCGGTCTTACTTCTGCCCATGTAACATCCGACTTGGTTCACCTGTTGTCAGCTACCCCGCGTTTCAGACGAACTAGCTCAGCCAGTTGAAGGGAATAATTATAACTAATCGAACCAGGCCGGTAACTATTAGCTGGTAATTAAAATGAAAAAGATGAAAGAAAAGAAAAGACAACGAGTGGTTGACTCCTGCAAATATGGTTGCTACTGTTCACTTGGCTGTTAAGATGTGCATAAATGTCGTGCAACGGCCATGCAGGAATCCATCATGCCTGGTCGAACCTTGCAGAGTCATGTCTCAGTAGCGGGTGTTTCTGGTCGATATCACCCCATCTGCATGAAGAAACACTAGCAGCCTGAATTTCGATACCTTTAGTAATTTAGGCATTGCTGAAATAGTAGGGGGGGTAGGCAAGGCAGAACACTACTTTCGGTACCCTGTAATGTGCGCAAGAGAAACTATACGTTAGACAAGATAGCGAGAGAAAATGTGGCAAAAGAAAACATCAGACAATATAGTATTTCGAAAGTGTATGAGGCAAAGCGGGAAGAAATTGGTTAAGATCACTATAGTAACTCAAACATCTGCTGCTGCGTGTACTCATTAGTCACCCAGGCTCCCCTCTCTACGAAGACTCTCTTAAAAGCTTGGTTTCCAACTTTATTCCAACAGATATGAGGCGGTTCTCGAATGAAGTAAAGTAGAGGAATTCCTGGCTATAGGTCTACAAGGACACCATTTGATCCGTCAGTAATAAGGCAAGTAAGGGCTTCAGAGCTGCAGTATCACACGAGCAGCCCCCGGCAGTCTTGGCATATAAAATCAATATTTCACGATAGAGTGGATATATTAGATACTGCCTCATGTAGTACGCGTTATTCTCACTGCACGATGACTGTGCATTGCATCAAATATTGATTCTAACCCCGAGGACGACAGGCTGTTCGGACTCGGCACTCCGAGATGCATTCCGCTGGCCAGATAATATCTCGAATACTCAGCTTTCTTCCCCCAAACCAAAAAAAAAACTCTACCCATATCATTTCATCAACAATGTCTTTGTTCCTTCTCTCCCTGGCGCTGCTCGCGGCGCCCACCGCTCTCGTTGCCGGCGCCGAGACGCCCGGCGTGTGGAACGTCCAGCGGCTCAAGCAGAACTGCGGAAAAGGCGGCTGCAACCTAGAGTTCTACATCAACGGGGAGCTCAAAATCACCAGCGATCCGTACAGCGCCCCGGGCACGCGCGACTTTGACGCGCGCTGCACCGGGCTCGCGTTTGGCGGCGACTGGACCCCGTGCCAGAGCCTGATCCCGTACACGCCGGCAGACAGGGGCGGCCGAGCCAAGATGGGAGACGTCAACAAAACGTCGGGGTCGGTCGAGGTCTGGTACGCGTGGGTCAATTGGGAGGGGCAAAGGCAAGTGAAGGAGACGGGCCGCATGGTGGTGGAAGCGCCGCGGCTGTGGGATGTGGCAAAGTGCAGGCAAATGGCCATTGTTTCCAGGGAATATGTGTAGTAGTAGTGTCTGATGGATCGCTTTTGCGATGTACGTAGGCGAGTTTTGATAATGTGAGAGGAAAAAACGCATGCTCCTGCGGCAGCAGTCTCAACTTCAAGTCATCTTGACAAAGTGGGAGGCAAAAGCATGCTTCCACTGCATCAAGTCCCTTGATCCGCTGGCCAGAATGACAACACCGGATCCATCTCGCCAATATCATACCATCCACAAATGTCCTCAAAATCCCTCATCGCCGTAAAGACATCACTACTCGACGAGCTCGTCCCCTGGGCCACACTGCTGTCGCCGTCCTCGACCGACGTGGCCGAGCCCGCCACGTCCTTTGCCGCGACCTGCGCCGCCTCCATGCCCAGCACGTGCTTTGCAATGGTCTGAATCTGCGCGACGTTGCGGGCGATGCGCGGCCACAGATGGCCGAGGTGCTTCAGGCAGCCAATCGTGAGCCGGATCTGGTCGCGCGCGACGGCGAGCTCGTCGCCGCGCAGCAAAAACTTGCACGCCGACAGCAGCGCCAGCGTGCCCTCGCTAATCATGCACGTGCAAAACGGCGTGCGGTCAAACGGCCGCGACGGCAGCGCGAGCAGCCGGATCTGCGCCTCGACGCAGCGCAGCACCCGCACCGTGTGCACGTTGATGTGCTCCGGCGTCGGCGTGTCCGGCGCCGGGTTGCGCGCGCAGCTGGAAATGTCCTCGACGGCGTTGAACTTGAGATCGGAGAGGGGGCGGTGGTACCCGATCATTACGCTGCTGTATATGAGCACGGGTTGGATGGGGGGAAGGGGAGGAAGGGGGGGGGTTCGTACACATGGATGAGATTGTGCGCTTGGAATAGCAGCTCGTCGATATCGCCGTTGCGCATCATGACTTGTTTCTTGGACTTTGGTAGCAGGAGCATCCAGCTGTCGAGGATGGAATCGACGACATGAAGCACGTCGTCGGGGTTCTTGCGCGGATCGCGCTTCAATGAGGCCTCTTTTGCGAGCGTCGCGCACCGGACCGCGCCGATGAGATGGGCAAACGAGGAAAACGGCTTTTCTTCTTGGTCAAACTCTCGGCAGTCCCATTCCCGTATTGTTCTTGATTGCGGGATGTTCTAGAGAGGATGAAAATTAGCCGCCCACGGCAGTATGTTGACGGAATCGGGGCCACCAACGTACACCTGATTCATACTTTGCTTCATCGCAGGGCAAGTCCACCGTCGATTCCACGGCGACGACTGAAAACCCCGTCGTCCCCAGCGTTCCGGCATAGAACGCATCAAACAAATACACCATCCACCAGGTCCGCCGCCAGCACTCGGCCAGCACTGCATCCTGGTCGCTGTGCGTCGCCGCAAACTCTCTCTGCCACAGTTTGAGCTCCAAGGCACGTTCCACGGCTTTCCCCATCTCCGTCTGCGATTTGGCCTTTTGGTCCTGCCAGAACAGCGCGGCCGAGTAGAGCAAATGGCACTGGACGCGGATCGGGTCCGTCTTGGCCAGCCGCTGCATTCCGCTCTCTGCCTCGTTCTGCAGCGTGGAGGACCACTCGTGGTGAAGGTACAGATGCCCGATCAGCCGGAGAATGGCGGCGAGCGGCTCCAGTCGGGGCCGCCAGCTGGCGTCGCCGAGGAAAGCGAGCAGGTAGCGACGAGGCAGGACCACGGGGTGGAGCTTGTGAAAGGTCTGGTAGTACGCTTCTATGAGCGCGTCTTTGCCGAATTCACACTGGTTCTGGATGGAGCTTCTTCTCACGCGCGCTTCTCCGCCATCGAGCGGCGGTGAGCCGAGGCGAGGCGAGACCTGAGCGGGCGACGTATAAGACAAGACGCTGGTCGGCGGCAGTCCCTCCGTCGCCGGCGGGGTAATGAGGGCGGATATGTACTCCTCGAGTTGATCTGGCGTGTTTGGCGATGGGCGATGATGATGCGCCACGTCTTCCCGTGCACCGTTGCCGCCGCGGCGAGACCTCGTGTACTGGCACGGCCGGTCCGCCTCGCTGCAGCGCGTACACTGCGGCTTCTTGGCGTCGCATTTCTGATGGCGCGAGCGACAGGAGAGACAGGCCAATGAGGAGCGTGTCAAGACTTGCTTCCGTACCTGCGACATTGCTCCAAGCTGCGATGGAAGATGGCGCAACTAGTGCTATGTAGAAGCACGATGAAAAAGAGTTGCCCGACGGCTCAAGGCTATGCGGTGGGTCGTCGGAAGGCGTGCCGCCATGTCGGGTATGCGGGTATTCGGGTAACTATCCGCCCGCACGACCAATAAGCCCATCAACGGTATTTCTGTTGGCGTCATGACACAGTAGTGGAGGGAAAAGTGAGCGTGATATGGCAAGACGGAACAACGAATCCATGTACCCGGGTTACAGAGCAAGTCGGGTATGTAGCTCAAGGGCACAGCATTTCGTCTCCCGCCGGTGGTAGTGGCATCATTCGGCCACCCGCCACTACGGGTAGATCCCGTGGGCTAGTATAGAGTCACTTGGCTATTGAGCACGGAGTTTCTGAAACTGGACGACCCGGCATTGTGGGATAGGCGATTTACTTTCCCGGCATCCATGTATAAATATCCCTAGCCACGACACTCTCTTCAGTCTCACCAACAGATCTTCTTCACCACTTCAGCCTATAAAGTACCACAATCCCGTCCAAGATGCCGGAACGTATCCTCATCATCGGGGCAGGATTCGCCGGTCTATGGAGCGCCCTGTCCGCACAGCGCCTCATCCAGCTCCGCAACAAGCAAAACGACGTGCACGTCGTCGTCATCGCCCCCAAGCCGTCCCTGGTAGTGCGGCCGCGACTCTATGAAGCCAACCCGTCCGCCATGGCGCACGACATTGCGCCGCTGCTGCACGCCACGGGCATCCAGTTCCTCGAGGGCATCGTGCACGCCATCGACCCGTCCAGCAGCACCATCACCTACGCCTCTGACACGGCCGGCGTCGCCACAGCCACCCTCAGCTACGACCGGCTGGTGCTGGCCGCCGGCAGCTCCGTCGTCCGGCCCGAGGGCGTGCAGGGGCTCTCCGCGCACGCGTTTGACATTGACTCGCTGGCGTCCGCCGCAACGCTCGACGCCCACCTCAAGTCCCTCGCGAGCTTGCCGCCAAGCGCCGCCCGCGACACCGTCGTCGTGTGCGGCGCCGGCTTCACCGGCATCGAGCTCGCCACGGAGCTGCCCGCGCGGCTCGGCCGCCACATGCGCATCATCCTCGTCGACCCCTCCGACGCGGTCGGCGCGCAGCTCGGCGCGGGTCCGCGGCCGGCCATCGCCGCGGCCCTCGCGGCGCTCCGCGT